CCCTACCCAAATCCAAGGTTTATGAAGTCCCTCCTTCATGTAAGAGTCCTTAATTCCCGCTTGCATCCAGGTGTCTAAGCCAGGTTTTGTGGGGCTTTCACTGTAGGCTCTGCTTATGCAGTTCCCTGTCAGTCTTCTTGAAACATCTTTCCATCTGCATAAAAATCTCTACCTGGTGTTAAGGGAAGCACGTACTGTTGTGGCGGTTTTATTACTAATAGTGATTCTCGACTTAAAATATTAGTAAATCCATGGAGAGCTGCCAAAGAGAAGCTAAAAGGTATGCTTGCATGTATACCTTCATTCATGGAGATAAGGACATAAGTGTGTAGGCAAGATTTCTGCAGGAGTGCCAAAGCTATTGACTTCTGGCTTATTTAACAGAATGTAATAAATTGTGTATTTGTATTTGACGTATGGAGGTCTTTGATGTATGTACCTTTCACAGCCTAAAGCACAAAAGGACCGTTTAATAATTTTTAAAGAATTTTCGGTCATAATTTAGCCACCTTACCCTTCTGCTGGTCTGGTTTTTGTCATCTTACATGTCTGAACACATGCATAATATCAATTTCTGAAACATCTATGTAAACTTAAACCTTCAAGCCAAAGTTACCATGTGATCTGCCTCTACCCCCATCTGCTGTTCCCACCAGAGACATGAATGTGTGCGATATATTGCAGTAACACATCAATATCATGAATCTCGGAGGTTGGGATTAGAGACTGTTTCTTGGATGGCAGGGTTTTTCGGGTACATTAACTATTGGACAGTAAAGATTGTATTTTATAACCATTAGGAAAACATGCTGTCTGGATTCTTTTTTTTCTTTTTTTTTTTTTAGTGTAATGTACTGGAGGAAAGGCTCTCATCGGTAGTGTCAATGAGAGTTATATATTCCTTCTTTTTATTTCTGAAGATAATATCCTCTGCATATCAAAAATCTCTGTTTGACAGAGTATCATTCTGTTTGAGTAAACTCGAGGCTCTTCTCAACTGGAGGAGTTAACAGGCTGCTGTTTGCTTTGCATACCTGTAAGAATTGCG